ACCTGAGTGTACGGAGCATACACTTTTCCTACTGCGCTAAAAATGTGGTTTTTCCATGTCAATGTTTTGTTAAATACTACTCCAAGATTCTTGGCCGTGTCGACGTATTCAATTACTGAATTGTCCAAAGTGATCTTATCTAGACCAGCAGAGGCAATAAATTTCCTGTGAATGATGATACATTTCGATTTGATGGGGTTAAGACATAATCCATTCATAGAAGCCCATTCCCCTATTTGGGTTAAGTCATGGTTCAAATCTTTGATACACATACTAATACGATCAGGAGGACAGCAAACATATAATTGGACGTCGTCAGCATATATGTGGACATTACCCCTCTGGCTACAATAGGAAATCAGAATTCTTGCTACCAATACTCACCGCCTGAGCTCTGCCGCTGAGATATGATCTGATCAGTGAGCATGCTGGACTAGAGAAGTTAAATAAGTTCATCAGCTTTTGACATAATATCATGTGGTCCACTGTGTCAAAGGCTTTGGAATGATCTAAGAGGGTTAGGAAAGCAATATTATTATCATCAAGTTGCGATCGAATACTTTCGATTACGCGTAATAGTGCTGTTGTACAGCTCCTTTTAGATCTAAAGCCCGATTGGTGGTCTGTTAAAAGTCTGTTGCATTGCACATAGGAAATAATTTGTTGATGTAAAAGACGCTCTACCACTTTTGATTGAAAGGGAAGGATAGCTATTGGTCGATACTCGTTATTTTTCTCATGAACAGGGTTATCTTAGAAACTTTCCAAAACTTAGGGAAGACACTGGTGGTCAAAATTGAGTTGATTAGGTAAGCCACGTGGGGTAGGCTTTTAGGTAGTATTATTTTCAGAAAATTTGCATGAACTCGGTCAAATCCCACGGCTTTAGATTTAATGGATAGTATGGCTTGCACGACGTCACAGTCATCCACACAAACAAACTCAAATGGACTAATACTAACATTTATTACACGTGCACTGTAGTTGTCAAGACATGTATTAGCTAAAGAACTGGGTGGACTAACAAATTTACTACTTAATTCGTCTAAATTTAGGTCGGAGTGCAGAGATAAACTTTCCTTTGATTTACCCAATCCCAATTTCTTTAATTGTATTCCACGTTTGATTAGAATTCATGCCTGAGCTGCTGAACTTTTCCTTATAATACGTAGCGTTCGCAGACCTTATTGCTTTGTTGACAATGAGTCGAGCTGTTTTGAATCGGCTTAAGGCTTCAGGGGTTCTGTACCGTTCCACCTCGCGTAGGTTTGATTACGAGTAGAAGTAAGGTCTTTTAATTTATAATTGAACCAAGGGCTGCTGTTGCACTTTGCTATTTTGCGTCTGAGTGGAACGACATCATCAAAGAGCCTATTTATGTGTTCTTGAAGGAACTTAGTTTGGTTGTCAATATTTACCAGCGTTCGAATCAGATTCCATTGCACTGACTCCACCGCATCAGTGAGAGAGGTATAGTTGATGTTCTTTAAGTCACGGTATGTGAAACATGTTGGTATTCTAGTTGTTTGAAAATCAAAAATCAAGAAAATCAAGTCGTGTTTCGAAAAGTTAGGTGCAGACAGTTGGCCACAGTGGAGGGATTTACTACGGTCGTGTCAAGCAAAGTGCTGTTGGTGTTAGTAAAATGTGTTGGTAAGTAGGTGTTAGTAGGAAAAAGACCTAGAGACTCCATGCTGAGTTTTAAGCTGCAATCGACAATAAGATTGCTGTTGAAATCACCCGCTACAACAGCGTTGTTGTAGTTGTCAAGTAACGGTTGAAGAAATTCGGTGAAATTGGAGAAGTTAATATGACGTTTGGGTCTGTACACACAGCCGACCAGGAGCTTGTTTTCACCTGAAAAGATATCAATGAACACATATTCAGCAGAGTCACCACAACCAGAAGCACAACATAATCTACAAGACAAACAAGTTTTAACATAACGGGTGATTTTTTTGAGGTTAGGATTTTCATGCATTAGTATTTGACAGATCACGTGGGATTTCAGACATGGTGTCAAAGAGAAAGATG